TGAGAAATTTCTCATCAAAATCTTCACAAATTTGTGCTTATACATATAATATACAGCTGTGTAATGGAATCATAGAAAAAAAATCGTAATGTAATCAAAAAGATTAAAAGCATGTTTACTTACAATTAAACATTTCAAAGGTTCTTTCAGAATATTAATATTTATCTTCAACATAAAACTAAAATAGAACTAAAAATAGTGAGAGCCGTGAATAACAATTCAGTCATTAATGTTAAAAAGAATACAAAGTAATTTACATAGAGGAAAATATAAATGTGCAGATATCATTTAGTTTATCACCATCACTTTAAGTACCTAATTTCGATAACTTCATATTTTAGATTCTGTTGTGCTGATTTTCAACAATAGATAGTTTGCGTTAAGTGACTGCACTTTTTTGAAATTACAACAGATTCTTGAAATTGCTTCTCACGTTTATCAAACCCTCCATGAATAATCAAAATTTAACTAAGACTCAGACCTCTAAATTACAAATTGAATCTCCAATTTTTCTTTTTTAGATTCACCATATAACATCTGTTCAGGCTATAAATATTTTCACCATGCCATAAACGAAATATACTAAAATTTCTTCACACTAAACTTTTACAAAAAATAACCTAATTTTTCAAGCAGCAAATATGAACAATTGTATGGTTTGGATCCTAAATATGTAGAATTTTCTGTTTTTCCCTTCCCTAATTTTGGTTCTTTTGGAAATTTTCTTCACTTTCCGACATCAGTTGGACCCATCATTTTCCACTTGGTATTTGGGATATGGCACATTTAGTCTTAAAAGCTATTTCCTGTTTTTCATGTCCTTTCTATGGACTGGTCCCCTCAATCTTCCAATTGTCTTCTCCTTTAACTTATTTCTGTCTTCCACACCTCTCCATCTCAAGTTTTCTGGGTGGCTCAGCTTTGGTTCTTCCTCCAGAGACCTCCACTGCCCATAAGGGAGACTCTGCCTTCACACCCTTCTCCATCCCTTCCATTTCCCATAATTATTTCTGGTCAGTTCTGGATTCAATGTGTTTACTCTTCCCTTTCCTCTGTAGATCTCTTTCTTTATTGTGTCTCCTCTCATCAGTTTCAACATGACATCTTGTCTCTGGCAGCTCATTTTCATCATTCTTTTTGAGAGATTGTCCAGGCCGGAATGTGGACTACTCAGCATACTTTTGTCTCTAATTAGCTGCTCCATCTGGCTGTATCCTTCTCTGATGGATATTGTTTTTTCTCTATAGTGATTCTCCATGCTCCAACTCGTCAATTTTTATTTTATTTTTTTCAGGGGGCCTCTCCTTATGTCTTTCTTACTTATTTGGATCCTTTTCAATGGCAAATGTTTCCTGATCAGGTATGCCGTACTTTAACCCACACCTGCTACCTTTTAAGTTGTACTACACACTGTTCAGATGGGGTGTTCCACAAGACTACTAGTGGCTTACCTAGTAGTGTATATATATTTATATATATAATTATATTCTGTACTTGGTTGACCATCACTCATGGACTATCATGAGTAAAGGAGAAGGGGATTGCTGCCCATCCCTACTGCTCCCTCAACTGAATAAATTGGAAGCTTTTCAAAATAAGGTTTTGCAGTCACCCATTGCACTTTTTCCAGTGTGTTGTTCCTCTGGACACCCCACTGCCTTTTACCCTCCCTTCCTTGATTGGAGTTTGGGAGTTTTTCCTTACCACTTTTCAGTTCTTAACCACTGGGGTGGTGGACCATAGAGGCTTCGTCTGGAGTGTAGCAAACATTTGGTAACATCATTTTTCTCTACACTCTCTTGAGAAGAGGGCGAAACTGGGAACCCTCACTCCTCCCTCCTGGGTTATTGTATCTGAAGGTCTGATGTGGGATGGAGCTGGACCAGCTACCACTGGATTCTCCTTGTAATCCTGAGTTCAGGTTGATAGTGCCCTGTTACTACGGTTGAGACCAGTAGGCACTCCTGTCTCGGTAATTCTGGTTGCAGGATGAATTTTTCCTGCTCCTATGGTTGAGCTCAGGGGACTTGTGATGCTGGTTGTGGGACATATGATAACCTGTTCCTATGGTTGAGCAGACATTCCACATAATACCAGGTGCATGTGGTTTCTTCCCTGCTCTTACATTGAGTGGATCTTGTTCTTTTCCTGCTCATAACACCAGCTACTGGAAGAGTCCCTGTTTTTATGGTTGAATTAAGATTCACACACTGCCCATAATTCTAGGTTCGGTTTGGTGTCTTTTCTTGACTCTTACAGTTGATGTGGAAGTTTGTCCAGTGATTGCCTTTTGTAATTCCAGTTGCATGCAGTATAGCACTCTGTTTACTTGCTGGAAGTTTGTCCAGTGATTGCTTTTTGTAATTCCAGTTGCATGCAGTATAGCACTCTGTTTACTTGCTGGAAGTTTGTCCAGTGATTGCCTTTTGTAATTCCAGTTGCTTGCAGTATAGTTTACTTGCTGGAAGTTTGTCCAGTGATTGCCTTTTGTAATCCCAGTTGCTTGCAGTATAGCACTCTGTTTACTTGCTGGAAGTTTGTCCAGTGATTGCCTTTTGTAATTCCAGTTGCTTGCAATATAGCACTCTGTTTACTTGCTGGAAGTTTGTCCAGTGATTGCCTTTTGCTTACTTCCTCATTCTAATTCCAGTTGCTTGCAGTATAGAACTCTGTTTACTTGCTGGAAGTTTGTCCAGTGATTGCCTTTTGCTTACTTCCTCATTCTAATTCCAGTTGCTTGCAGTATAGCACTCTGTTTACTTGCTGGAAGTTTGTCCAGTGATTGCCTTTTGCTTACTTCCTCATTCTAATTCCAGTTGCTTGCAGTATAGCACTCTGTTTACTTGCTGGAAGTTTGTCCAGTGATTGCCTTTTGCTTACTTTCTCATTGTAATTCCAGTTGCTTGCCATGATCAATGTACAGGGTGTTCCAGAAGTCTGGATACATAGGGAAAAATACACAATTTATTTTTAATTTACTTATTCAAATTGCATTCCATTAACAGCTATACACATATGAATTCTTGGCATACTGTGCCATCAGCATATTTCTTTCCTGAAATATGTACAACTAACATTAGAAATGTTTTTGTTTAACTTTAAGAATATAATGTCTATTTTCCCTATGGGTCCAGACTTCTGGGACACCCTGTGAAATGAATTAAGAGTTGAAAAATATAAAATACACATACTTTTTTTTATTCTTTTCACGAATAATTTTCCTTGTTGTTCTTATCTTCAAAGTTTCAACTGTTAACATTTTCGTATCTCTGTTCTATAAATTTATGGTTTTTATTGTACTAGTTGGTCCGTACATTAGCACTAATCCTGGTGAAAACAATAAACATGGTGTGACATGGGTCATAAACACCACAGTGAAGTTCGTGACCCACTTGTTCTTTGCAAGTGCAAATGGTAACTGAGCTAGGCATAATTTTTTATTTCACTAAGTTAGTTCTTTAAGTAAAAATTCTTGGAGCTTTCAAATATACATCTTAGAACAAAAAAATGTATAAAGCAATAGAATAGAATATCCTAAAACAACTTAAATTTAACTGGTTTTCTCTCTAACTAATAAATGCAATTTTAAAATTCACTTTCTTCCTTGGAGCAGGAAAATGAAATTGAGGCCAAATATCTAATTATGAGCACCAAAACAATCTAGCTTTGTAACAAATTTTGTGAAGTCCAGTCTTCTCTTTGTATTGGTTATAAATAAGAGGGGCATGGCACATGGATGTGACTTCTTTTTATATCTTAATAAAGTATTCTTGCTTGGAGGCAAGATATTTATATTCTGGCTTGCTAATATCTATACTATGTGTTTGTAATTGATGGAACACCCAGAAGGTCATATACAAGCAGAAATATAATCTAAAATGGGAATTTTGGAGCACAGACATGTCACATGGAACAGACAAGTGAAGATTGAGAACTTATTTAAATATTTTCTTTTGAAATTTAGAATATAAAACTTAGATAATAGTAAATTTTTAATTATAAACTTCATTTTTATGCCAAAGTTATTGAAATACTTTTATAATAAAGCTGTTTAATTAAATTTTGAATAGAACCCTGTAAAAAAGGTTTGTAATATTTACACTTTAACCCTCCCATAGGGTTAATCTTTAATGTACATATGAAATATCTGTTTGAATGTACATTTCACAGGGTTTGGCTGACACCGAAGAGTTTGTTATTAGCAAAACTCTAACAGCTATGACAGATCTAGCAGAACTGGGCCTGTTGCAGAAACAGATGTGTTATGAGCTAGTTCAAGAGACTATTCCACTTTTGTGCCATCCCGTAAGTATATGTTTGTATGTTTTCATTTGTGAAGGTTGTGAAGATTTCTCTTTTACAAATGCTTTAGAGTTGTGAAATAGTACAATGGCTTTTGGTGTGTGTATGAAAATGAAATTGTAATTAATTTTCCTTGTATACAACTATAGTTCAAATAAATGAAGTTTCATGCAAGCACCAAACTTACATTAAAAAAAAAAAGCATATGGGCAAGTACCAAAATTTACTCTTTAGCTTCAACAACTTTCTGCAATTAAAATTCGCATGTTTATTGTTTTTCATTGTTGCTTTCTTTAATAATATATAACTTAAAAGTACCTCTTGTTCATTCTGTAGCATCTAATTAAAGATCCTTCAGCTCAGTTATGAATGTAAGAGATAGAAATAAAAGGTAGTTATAAATTTGATTGTTTAGGATCACTTTCCTTCGTAAATTCTGTGGTATTCATCTAGAGGTCCTTCAGGTCTGTTACGAATATAAGAATACATAAACAAAAATTAGTTATAAATTTGATTGTTTAGGATCACTTTCCTTCGTAAATTCTGTGGTATTCATCTAGAGGTCCTTCAGCTTTGTTATGAATATAAGAATACATAAACAAAAATTAGTTATAAATTTGATTGTTTAGGATCACTTTCCTTCGTAAATTCTGTGATATTCATCTAGAGGTTCTTCAGGTCTGTTATGAATATAAGAATGTAGAAATAAAACTCAGCTATAAACTTTATTGTTTACAATTTGTACCAGAAGTTTTGTTAAGTTTTCAAATTGGTAAATTACAATGATTATTTTTCTTGTATCATTTAGTCTCGTGTCAGGTTATGTTAATTTACTGTTGCTTGATGGAAATGATCAGCTGGTCTTATCCTTTGTGTTATTTTATAGATAGTTACATACGGACTTTATTCATGCAATATGTATTCCTTTGATCTTGTGTATAGTGTGCATTGTTCATACATACAGACTTTCTTCGTATTGTATGCAGTCCTTTGACCTTGTGTATAGTATGTGTTATTCATACATCCAGACTTTATACATGCAATCCTCTTACCTTGTGTACTGACTGGCAGGATTTTAGATGAGAACAATTATTTAAGATAATTATTTTCCCTCGCTTTGCAAGAAGTGTTTTTGTTAGTGTAGAGATCAAGTAACTTAGCGGTAGTGGAGTGGTAGTTTTAAGAATTAAATTTTGAAAATCTTGAGAGGTAATGGTAGGTGTGGTTTAAGGCAAAGGAAGCACAGGTTTGAACTAGGCAGATAGGTGAGAAGAAATATGTACGACGTCGACAGAATATCAACAAAGGGGTCTTACCAGGGCCTGGCGGGGATCTATAGATCCAATGCCAGAATTTGAGTGTCTGGGAGAAATGGAAGTATCCCAAGAAAACCCACTTTCACTAGGAGGGACCTAATGAAGCCCACTCAGTGCCCAGGTACAAGGAGTATAGAAGCATGGTGATGGCTGCTTGGTATCTGGATGAAAGTCTGTAAAGAAACTTGAAGAGAGAGAGTTATGCATGTATAATTACATATATATATATATATATATATATAATGATTATATTCAAGGGTTAGGGTTATTGAATAAAGTTCTATGAGGATAAATATTTTCTCCATGAACATGGGGTGGTGGTAAAATTGGGCATAGTGAGGTAAATAAATTTCTGTTGATTGATTTTTTTATAATAAGTTTCATGATTCTGTTTTTAATTGGGGGACGTTTTGCCATTTTCTCCATGTAACAGGCGGGTATATAGAAGGGAAGGTGGTGTGCTAGGTGGGAGACTCGATTTTGTAGGTTTTGTAATGCTGTTAGCTGGTGGTTTGACATGTTACCATACATCTGTATTCAGTGATTGGCCTAATAAATGTTTTGTAGATGTATAAAATTGTGGATATCTTGCATCCATGATCGTGGTGGCTAATTTTTGTTAGGTGTCCAATTCTAGCTAGAAGTTTTTTTCCTTATTTCTTTGAAGTGGGAGTGCCAGGTAAGTTTATGATTTTATGGTTTTGGTTATGGGGATGCTATGGCTGTTAATAAAGAGTTTTACTTCTTAAGAGATTTGTGTGTTCTGTTTAGGCTTCTATTGATTGTGATTGCTTGTATCTTATTTGGGTTAAGTAATATGTGCCATTTATTGCACCATGCAATAATTGTGTACAAAATTTTACATACTTTATACATGCAGTATGCAGTCCTTTAACCTTGTATATGGTGTGTGTTATTCATACATACAGACTTTATTCATGTAGTATGCAGTCCTTTAACCTTGTATATGGTGTGTGCGTTATTCATACATACAGAATTTATTCCTGCAATAAGCAGTCCTTTAGCCTTGTATATGGTGTGTGTTATTCATACATACAGACTTTATTCCTGCAATAAGCAGTCCTTTAGCCGTGTATATGGTGTGTGTGTTATTCATACAAACAGACTTTATTCATGTAGTATGCAGTCCTTTAACCTTGTATATGGTGTGTGTTATTCATACATACAGACTTTATTCATGTAGTATGCAGTCCTTTAACCGTGTATATGGTTT